CCTGATTTTTACATTTTCGTCGAGATTTGTCAGTTGTGTGGCTACTCTTAAGGAAGGTAGTTGAATTTCCAAGGGTAGCACAGCTTCTTATCTATACACCAGACTATATGGAGTACATTGGGTGGATGTACGGAAGGTGGTCTTATAGGCCCATAATGCTTCGGGAAGGCGTTCATGCCAATTTCTTTTATTCTTTGCCATCATTTTTTTTAGGATGCTGCACAACACTTTGTTGAAAGCCTCCGCTTGACCAGTGGCAGTTGGGTTGTAACTTGCGGAGAAGGCTTGCTGAATGTTGTACTTTTTGCAAAGATTGACCATGGCCCTACACTTGAAGTAGAGAGCGTTGTCTGAGATTATTTTGGACGGGACTCCGTAGCAATAGATTATGTTGTTCTTTTTGAAATTCACAACATCATCCGCTTTTACTTCTTTCAATTGTATTGCCTCAACCCACTTTGAGAAATAGTCCGTGGCTGCTAGGATGTATTGATGTTGGAGGGACGATTTTGGGTTTATCATGCCTATCACATCTAAACCCCATGAATTGAATGGCTAAGACAAGATGGTCGGATGAAAGGGCAATGGATTTTAGTGCTTGAAGTCTCCATTTATTTGACATGTCCAACATGACTTCACGTGTTTCATCGCATCTTGAACCATTGTAGGCCAGTAATACCCAAGTCTTTTCAATTGAGCTGCATGCTTAGGTCCAGATTGATAGGCTCCACAAATACCGGCATGAGTTTCGGATAGAGCATAGGCCGCTTCTTCTTTTCATAAACACCTTAGCAATATTCCGTCAAATGATCTTTTGTATAGTGTGTCATTCATATACACAAATCAGTTGGCCCTTCTTCGTACATCAACTCTTCTTCTGGGATCAGTTGGTAGTTTTCCATATTGAAGATAGTCAATCAAAGATTGCCACCAATCAAAACATTCATTTACTTCCAGGACTGTAACCGTGTTAACTTCATGGTTTTCTTCAATCCGCTCTAGTGTTGAAGGAAGTAAATGTCGTTCTCCCACTGTAATTTTAACTTCTCGTTCCTCAGAGAGAGTTAAAGATGCCACCAGCTTTGCCAATGCATCGACTTTGTTATTTTCAGACCTTGGAATGTGAGCAATGTTGATTTCTTGGAATTGTGACACCAAGTGTTTTGCTCTTTCATGGTACAAGGTTAGATTTTCATTTTTCACAGCATATTGACCATTCACTTGTTTGATGATTAACTGTGAATCACCATAAGCTTTAAGGCAATCGACATGTAGTTCGAATGCAATTTCAAGTCTGATGATGAGTGCCTCATATTCTGCCACATTGTTTGAACATAACTCCATGAGCGAAAATGAATATGGGATTAGGCCTCCACATGGTGTGATAAAAACAATACCTGCCCCCGTGCCTTTTTTCCTTGCTGCTCTGTCGAAATAAAGTTTCCATTGAGAAATGTATGTCGAGAATACTTCCTCATCTGGCAAGTCGCTCGATAACTCCATGTTGTTGAGAACAGGGTGAGCTGCTAAGAAATCAGCTAGTGCTTGTCCCTTTATAGCTTTCTGAGAGACATACTTAATTTCAAATTCCGATAGTAACAAAGACCATTTTGCAAGACAACCGGATGGCACTGGTTTTGACATCAAGTATTTGAGTGGGTCCGCTTTAGATATCAAAGTAATACTGTGTGACAGTAAGTAATGTCGTAATTTTTGCACAGCGAAAACTAAGGCCAAGCAAACCTTCTCAATAGGGGTGTAATTTTGCTCTGCCTCTACGAGCATTCGACTTAAATAGTAGAGCGCATTTTCTTTTCCTTCTTCATTGTTTTGTGCAAGCATTGCCCCCAGTGAGCATTCAAGTGCTGCGATATACAAAATTAAAGGTTTCCCTTTAATTGGAGCCATCAACACATGGGGTTTCAAAAGATATTCTTTAATGCTACTGAGAGCGTTTTGACATGTGTTATCCCATATGAAAGGCACATCCTTTTTCATCAGCCTTGTGAATCGTTGACATCTCCCAGATAAGTTTGAGATGAATCTCCTGATGTATGCCAATCTTTCTTGTAGTCCTCGTAGCTCTTGCAGGTTTCGAGGATGAGGCATTTCCATGATTGTCTTGATTTTTGAAGGGTCGACTTTGATTCCTCGGTACCTTACCACAAAGCCAAGAAATTTTCCAGATGTCACTCCTAATGCGCATTTCAAATGATTCATCTTTAATTGATGTTTTCAGAGTCTGTCAAAGACTTTCTTTAAGTTGTTCAAATGACGTTCCCTTTTTCTTGTTTTGATGACAAGATCGTCTACATAACATTCGATGGTGTTATGTAACATATCACTGAAAATGATTGTCATGGTTCTTCGGTATGTGGCTCTTACATTTTTTAGTCCAAATGGCATTACAGTGTAGTAGTAGATTCCTTTTGGAGTGCGGAATGTTGTAAGTTCTTCGTTTTCAAGTGCTATTTCAATTTGATTATACCCTGAGAATCCATCCATAAAAGATAGAGCCTCAAAACCGGTTGTGGCTTCTACCAATAATTCAGTTATTGGAAGCGGGAACTTGTCTTTTGGACATGCATCATTAAGATCTCTGAAATCTATGCAGACACGAATTTGTCCATTCTTTTTCTTTACCGGTATGATTGGCGAGCCATGTAGGGTACTGCACTTCCATGATAAACCCAACGTCTATCAATTTGTCAATTTCAGCCTTAATTTATACTTCAAGCTCAGGTTGAAAATGTCGTGGTGCCTATTTAACATAACGTCTTTCTTTTGATACAACCAATCTATGAACTGCCACCTTAGTGTCTAGACCAAGCATATCTTGATAGCCCCATGCAAACACATTGTGGTAATCTTGGAGAAGACATTTGTAATCTTCTAATTCTTTCGGTGTTAGTAGGGCACCTACAAATATAGGCTTTGGCTCGTCATCTGTTCCAAGATTGATTTCTCGAAGTTCATCCACCGTGGCTTGCCCCCCATCCTCTATTTGAGGTGGTACTGGTTGAGCATTGTCAATAAACTCGATTGAGTTATCACTATTCTCATCTTTTTCATCTTCAATGGTGACACAGTTTACTTGAGCAACATTATGAACCTCTTCTTCTGTGCTTGATTCTTCATCCATTTCATAGGCTTCACTTAGAAGTGGTGATGCATTGTTGTGGGTTCTGAAGCTTGCGCAAATACGACTTTGCCCATTTTTCTTTTTAATAGGAAAGCAGGTCGGGAACTGTCTAATAGGCTCAATTGGCTCGTTATCAGACTCCTTGCTTCTTTCTTTGCTACCGATCATGCTAACTTGAACAACATCTTGTTCCTCTTCTTGTGCATTATTATTTTTGTCTTGGTTTATCTTCGTCTTTTGGCTTTTGACTCTTCACTTTTTGCTTTTATTAGATTTCTTAGGCTGAGTGTTGGTGATTTTACCGTCGTTGGAAGACCGAGACTCGAGGTGGCTTGCTGTTGGATTCTTCTTCAGTCAACATTGCTTTCTCGAGATTAGTAAAGCCTTCAAACTCATGATTCCTGGTTTCCGAGACAAATGCTTTGAGCATTCCATTTCCTTGGTGCACCGTGACATTGATAGCACTCTTTTTGGCTTTATGCCTCTTTGCTTTTATCTTTAATGGAACTTTTGATGAGGACTCATTTCTTTTGAATGAAACAATGCGACCATGTCGACCAGTATTCCTTTGCAGATTTGTTGAGACTATCAAACTACCTCCAGGAATTGATTGGTTAATTCTACGTAGAGGTTTCGTGTAGCCGGTCATAAGGGCTTCAAATGCATTTTGGATTTGCTCCATTGCCTTCTTTTCAGGTTCTCTTTGATCTTTTAATGAATGGTTAAGAACCACTTTTCGGGACTTTGGACTTTTAGAACTCGTAATTTGACCAACCTTGATGGCTTTGCCTTTTCCACAGCTGGTGATTGTGATTCCTTCTGCACTACTTCATCTTTTGTTGGTTGTGAAAAAGTGACCTTTGACTGTTTGTAGAATTTTGCATCTGCATAATTCACTTCTTCCCCCCTAAATGGGTCAGTGTCCGCTAGAACTGTCTTGACTTCGCCATTTATCAAAAACTTAAAGCACTGATGGAGTGTAGAAGGAACAACACCATATGTATAAAGCCACGGACGCCCCCAATAAAACATTGTAAGATGTGTTAGCATCGATTACATGGAAAAGGGCATCGGAGTACAACTCTCCTATCTTCATTTGCAAGGCTATTGTTCCCATTGCTTTTTGTCCCACTTGGTTGAAGCCTTGAATCGTTAGCATTGATGGTGTTAATTGACGAACATTCATCCCCAAGGCTTGAAGTGTTCGAAGAGGAAGCAAGTTTACTGCTGATCCACAATCAAGCAAGATCCGATTTATTGATGTATCTCCCACCAGTCCACTGACGTACAAGGGCCGATTATGATACTCATTTCCATGTATAAGGTCATTTTCATCAAATGTGATGCTTACGAGGCAACAAGCGCAATACTTTGGCGACGTTGTATCCACTTCTGCAAATTTGAAGTTTGTTTCAAATACTTTAGGATTTGTCAAAGCCGTAATGAGTGCTTCTCTAAGCTCTTTTGAAATTTTTAGAGCATCATACACATTGAGAAGAGATGGAATGAGTTTAAGATGGTCAACGATGTCATATTTGCCATTTTGGGACTATAGTACATCTTTTGCATGACAATTTCCAATTTTTTTCTCGCTTCCCTTACTCTTAAAATTTTTTGAAGGGAGGTAGTCTCCAAGAGTTATTGGTGCTCTGAAAGGCTGTTTGTACTCATCATCTTGAAAGACTTTAGGCCTTCTCTGAGTATTCTTCTTCTTTTTCTTTCCATCCTTTGAAGGTGGTCCACACCATAATTTTTGTTTTGATCGCTTTGTGGAAGAAAAACGTTTACCAATCTTTTCCACCTTCTTTTCATTAACGATTTGCCATTCGTCTTCGGATTCAAGTGATGACAAATCCTCTCAAACATCAAAACTTGGTGCCGTCATGAGCTCGTACAGAGTTGGAATTTTTTTATTTCTGGAACGAGGCATGCCAGGATAAGCATGGATAAATGTGGTTTCATTATCAACATGGAATCGTACAGGGATTGCCCGTTCTGGTAATGGAGCGGAGGGTGTTGATTTTCCTTCGATCATATTGGACGTTGCCGTCTGATGTTTCGAGGATGAATCCACCTTGATCTCATGCTTGTTGATTTTTTCTTGAATTATATCCTTAAGGATATAACAATCCTCTATTGTATGGCTGATGAGTCGATGATACCGGCAATACTTTGGATCATCGGTCTTATTTACTTCAGCGGGACTCTTTGGTTCAGGAAGCGTGATCATCTTTGCTGCAAGGAGTTCATAGAAGATAGTTCCAACATCTTCATCATCGAAACTATATTTAACTTCTTTTCTTTCCTTAAGTTAAAGCCTCCTTGTTCCCTTGGTTTCTTCTTTTCTTTTTACATTGTCACTTTTCTTGTCTACTTTGACAAATGTCGCCATAGAATCTCCCTTCTTTGGCGTTCTTTTGTTATCTCCCTTCTTTGTGTCAGACTTCTTTTCTAAGTCTTGGATCATTTTTCCCATCACATTTTTCCGAGACATTTGCTTCTCCACATTACTTGCTTTGGATACCAACTCATTGAAAGTTTGAGGCTCTACAATTCCTACAAATGTTACAATCTCAGGGATAAGGTTATTGTAACATATTTGTACTGCCGAAAATTTAGAAATCTTTTCCATGCATTGTAGGTTAAGACTCATCCATCTTGTGATGAATTCAGTCGCGCTTTCTCCAAGCCTTTGTGTTGTTTGAGCCAAATCCATTAATGTGACTTTTTTCTTTGAACTGACGAATTGAGCTAGAAAAGCTCTTTGCATATCATCCCATGTTAGAATAGATCCTGGCTCTAACTGAGTATACCATGTGAAGGCAGACCCTTTGAGTGATTGAACAAACTGTCGAACCAATAAGGGATCTGACTGCGATGTTTCCCCACAAGCTGAGTAAAAATGAGCTAAGTGTTCTTGAGGAGAACCACTTAAACCATCAAATTGATCAAAGCTCGGTTTTTGATACCCTTGGGGAAATGGCACTGTGTCATAGTGAGCTGGATAAGGCTTCCGGTATCCGAGAATTGGTGTCGTTAAAGACATTTGAAATTCACGAATCTTTTAATCAAAAATTGCATTGATATCTTGATGTGTGAGTTGGCCACCGGAACTTTCTCCTTCTGTTTCTTTTCTTGCTCTATCTCCATCATTATTTATGCTAGCTTGAACGGCTAACTGAGCTGCTAAAGCCGCAATTTCAGCTTCCTTATCAGCTACCAAATTGCCATTTCTGCTTCTTTTTTTGCTAATTTTCGTTGCATGTCTAGCAGTTGTTCTTCTGTATTTGATGCGCCAGTCATCAGAACTTGCATGTTCTCAAATTCGACATCTTCATTTATCGTCAACCTTTGGAATTGAGTCATTACTCTAGGAATCTCTTCTTGGAAAAAAGATTTGTTTCCTCCAAGAGTATCTCCAAGGGAAGATGAACTCTCGGGAGAATGGATTGCCAATACTCGGGTCCTTGCACGTGTGATAGGCCCCTCGAATTGAATGTTGTTACCTTCCTCGACAACTTCATAGGCCTTGGCCTTTTGTTGAACATTTCTAGACACTATTGGCAAGATTTCTTCATTTTCCTCGACGGAGGTTATCATGACCGACTCTGTTGTATGTAGAGTGACCGGGATTGTTCCGATCATGATTTGAGTGACGATTGGAACCTTGATACGCGGTGATGATGTCACTTTGACGATCTTGTGTCAAGGCACCTTGGTGTCTTTAGATGAAATAGTTCCAAGAAGCTCCATTGGAATGATTTCGTTGTCTTCAAGTAAACACTTCCTAGCGATCTTCTTCCTACGAGCTCGTGCCGCTTTTTTCCTTGCATTCCTTAGAGCGTTCTTGGAAGGGCATTTTTTCGGCCCAACTTTGATAACTTTGACAGCCACCTTGCATGTCTTGTCGCTACCCTCATCTTTACCATATTGTAGTTAGTTGGTACTTGATCGATGGTGAAGGAGATTCGGTGACTAGCATGCCTTCCACATCCTAATTTGGTTTCAGCAGTAAAGAGTTCATGGAAGTAAACAGTAACTTGTGGCGCCATGCTTCCTGTTACAAAGACAAAAAACATAGCAGATTGAAATTAGAGATGAAAGGGAAAATGGGCCCCACCGGGCGTGCCAAAAGTTATGTTGAGCAAAAATTGTACACAATATGTAAACAAATAATTCACTCGACACAATTTCATGCTTGTTCATTTTGAAGAGGGTTTTACTAATTCGAGTTCGACCCATTCTAGGCTACGCGCCTGTTAATTATAACCCTTCATTTGGAAAGGAATACCCTTTGATTCTAATATGAATACATCGTAACATGGGGATTTGGGTGTTTATTTGATTTTGTGACTGCGTCTAGGTAGAGCCCTAGATTGCCTACGTACCGTCGTTGAGGGATCAACTCACTCGTAGTTCCTTATGTGTTTTGTTGGGGTTTGATGCCTTGTGCAGTTCCAGCTCGTATAGGCAAGGAGCAACTGATGCCTTGTGCAGTTTTAGCTCATGCAAGCAAGGACTTTGAGCCATTGGAACGTTTAATTCCTTGTGCAGTTTAGGTTCTTGCAGGCGAGGACTTTAAGCCATTAGAGCTTTTGATGCCTTGTGTAGTTTTAGCTCGTGCATGCGAGGACTTTAAACCATTGGAGCATTTGATGCCTTGTGCAGTTTTAGCTCGTGCAGGCGAGGACTTTAAACCGTTGGAGCAATTGATTCGGCTTCATGCCATTTGAGATTTTGCTTCAGCTTCATGCCTTTTAGGATTTGACGCGGCTTCATGCCATTTGGAATTTGATGTGGCTTCATGCCATTTGTAATGTTAAACGGCTTTGTACCATTTGAAGCGACTTCGTGTCATTCGTAATTTGAACCAGCTCGCTTCTCTTTACTCTTCGTAGAATTTGTAAGTACTTGGTCAAAGTAACAGAAGTGAATTTAGTTTATATAAACCAGGGATTCGTCTTGATTTCACGGTTGCGTCTATAATTTGATATCAGACTGCCTATGTATCCTTAACGGAATCAAACCGGCGTAGTTCGTATATTTTGAGACTCATCGCGGCTTTGTGCCATTTAACACTTGATATGGCTTTGTCCCACTTGTATCTTGTAAATTTAATGGGAATATTTGTGATGAACCCACTATTACTTTGGTATTTGACTGTCTCGGTGCCGTGCATCTCAAACTTCTTGAATAAATTTAACTTTGATGGATGCCATATTCATAAAACCCATATGAGTAATATGGAAGAGCTACATGTTTTTTTTTTTTTGGTTTCGTGGATAGCCTTCCCATTTTAATTTGAGGGAATTGTATGTAGCAAGCTTCTTATTTTCTCCCTTGTACACTTTGATTTTTCCAAGTCCAGATGGGATATCACACGGCGTCAAAGTCTTAGGACAAAAAGGCTTTTGATGGAATTCTTTAAGAAGTAGCTTCCCCCTTTTTCATAACTTTCTTTTGAATTTTCAAACCCATTTGTTATGGGATTTTGAACCCATTTAACCTAAGACCCAAGTTTTTTTTTTTAATCTGACAGCAGGCTTTGCACTTTTCTTTATTTGACTTTAAAGGTCTCCAAGTTCCAAATGGGACTTCTAATTTCAAAGGACCTCCCTTTTTCTTCACGTGAGTATTCCTACGTGAGGTACATTTTTTGTGGCTGAGACTTGAAGGAAAAAGTGAGACTTCAATATTTATGACATCCATGCTTTACTCTTTTCTTTATTTGACTTTTACAGGTCTCGAAATTCCAATAAGACTTGTCTTCTAATTTCAACAACCTTACTTTTTTCTTTATGTGAGGTGACCCTAATGTGAAGGGTAGAGTTCGTTCACCCTTTCTCACCTTGCGAGATGACTTTACAATTTTTTTTAGTTCCAACACATGGTGCTCTTCCATTAGAAATCGAAGGAAGTTCTGCAATATTTGGGCTCCCGTTTATTTCGCCATGTTTTTGAAATTCCTTTTGGGTTTGTCAGCCATTGATTTCCAGATGAAGATGGGTAAGACTAGAGTTCTATCTCTTTTTGAATTGTTCCAATTTATTATTCCCCCCCCCCCTTTTTTTACATTCTTCTTTGAACTTTTCAACCCCATCTAAACATGGGACTTTGAACCCGTTTGACTGACAGCAAGCTTCATTCATTTTTTTATAACTTTTAGGGGGTGTTTGTTTGGCCTCACTAAGTGGGACTGGACTAGACTGGATTAAGTATTTAGTGAGTCCCATGTTTGGTAGGTAGAGGGACTGAGTTTAATGGGATAAACTCGGACTCGCTCAGACAAAGTCCTTCGCTAAGTGTTCTTAGCGAGGAACCCCAATTTTCACGGTACTACTAAGCCCAGCGAGAGGGAAATTCGTCGCTCGTCTGCGAGAGAAGACATCCTACTCCTTCACCCTCATCCTCCTCGCCCTCCTCTGCGTCCTGATTGCTGTCCTCTGCTCCTCGTCAGGTAAATTTCAATCTGACGATTTTCTTCTTCGATTTTCTTTTGCTGATCATGAACGAAACGACTTCGATTTTGTTTGGTAAATTATTATTGGGTTATGAACGACTTCGTTGTTTTGGTTTGAAACCTTTTCAATAACTGATCTGGGCAGTTGAAAATAAATTAAGGTTTTCATTTTTAGGTTCAACTTGATATTAAAATTTGGTCTTTTACTGGAGTGGATTTGATATATATATGAATTTCATCACAATTTGTTCTGCCATCGTTGAATTTCATCTAATAATTAATATGTGTATATAGTCTATGATTGTATGTGTCTGTATGTATGTATGTACTCTGTGTGTGTGGGTGTGTCCTTCCATATGGGTATGCTGATTTTGGCTGTGTGTGTGTCTTGGAATATTCAGCATATTCAAATCCTTGCAATTGGACCGGAGTTCGTTGTTCTAATTTCAAGGTGACTTCTATAATAAATCTCAATGGACTTAATTTGTCTGGCACTTTGTCTCCAAGCATTTGTAATCTTCCTTACTTAACTGAATTCAATGTGTCCAAGAACTTCTTCTCTGGTCCTTTCCATAGTGAGCGAAGAAGGTGGGTTTAACTAAAACAAATCATGCTCTGAAAAATATCTTGTTTATCTACTGTAAGTTGGAACTAATGGTCTTGCTTCAATTTCCTGCATCTAATGGCTCATGTTCATGGGCTGTTTGTCTTCTTGATTGATAAATCATATTGCAATATATGTGTGAAGCCCATGAATACTGGGGCTTAATTGCAGGAAATAATCTTACCGTTGCATCGTGATCCTGTTTTGATCTGGGTTCAGATTTTCGTTTGGGAGATGCATCCTTATCTTTCTTTGTTTGAGTATTCATCTACTGTGATCATTGGAGTTTGTATGTATAAATGAAGGAGCTCCATGGCAAAAATGAATAGAAATAGAGCAACCTCCAAAGCTGTAAATTGATTGCTCAAAGGCTAATTTTTTTGTTAATTAGTTAGATATCCAGTACAAACAGAAAATAGAATGAGCGACTTGTTTCTTTTTCGACTTGTGATAGCTACATATTCGAATGCCTTTATCGTTTGATTATGATTAAAATATCTTTGTTCAACCCCTACTTCTTGATTCAACAGATTAAAAAGACCAAATAAAAAAAACTATAATCCTTAATTCAAACTAAGCATACGAGTATTCTTGTTTGATCTCTAATCCTTGTTTCCATTTGTTTTTACTTGATTTTTTGTACTTCTATTTATTCAGTACGATTGGTGGTTGTGATCTTTTAGGCATGGAATTTATACACAGAAGGCAAGTCCATTGAAATGCTCGAGACATCAGTAGGATGTTGGAAGTATGCCCACAAAGCCACTCATTTGATGTAATAGCTTTTGGAATACTTATTGTATTAAACTTTTATATGTTTAATGAAGGGCAAAGCTTATTGTTAATCACTATTTATTGTATCATGTGTTTAAGCAATAAGGGAATCCAAGGAATGTATTTGATCTAAGAGATAAGTGATTTAAGTAAGTTAGATTAACGAGACCTTTCTCTTATGTTCATTCCTAAAACGTTCATAGCCATA